CAATACTGTTGACTCCACTGCAGTGTCTCTCAAAAGACAAGCTGAATAGCCTCATGTTGGCTGTTTAGTGGGATCTCATGCTTTTTAAATTGTATACAGTATGGAGGCCAACTTCACGAGCTGATTAAGGCATGCATGAGAAAGAAGATGCTTTTCTGTCAGGGCACAAGGCAGCAGGCGTTATCTATGAAGGCCTCATTCTTGCAGCTCATTCCATGGCTACTTATCGCCACCTTGTGGTTGTTCAGGATGTTTCATTCCTTCTTGTTAATTCATCCACTGCTGTTACAGTGAGGATTCTTACTCTCTGTAAACATACAGTGGTGGAAGAAGTACTCACATACTTGGATAAAAACAGCAGTACGACAGTTTAAAATTACTCCAAGCAAAAGTTCTGTATTCAAAAGTTACTTGCTCCAACTGTCCTTTTGAATCTAGTCTTAAAACTTTGCCACTGCCTTCTATCAAATTAAATTTGAAACTATTCATATTTTGTACTGAACTGTAACTGCACTGTTTTTCTATCCCCCCATTTAATAGCTTTCATTCATTTTTTGCTTATTTTTATCTTCTATTTTATTTTATTCTTTATTACATCCTATTTATGTCTTTTGCTTTCGCCATGTGATTTAATGCCTTTTTATTTCTTATGTGCAACACTTTGAACTGGATTGTTGTTGAGAGATGATATATATATATATATATATATATATATATATATATATATATGTATAAACTTGCCTTACATTATCTGCATAATACTGTATACACCAGTACTCATTATGCAGATTGGATGGTTTCAGACTGCCATACTATATTATTGGACAAATATTACTGATGCATTATACATCTAAGTAGCATTTTGATGTTGATGCTGATTAAGATTTATTTGGGTAGTTTCATCTACAACAATCCACAATATTTTATGACCTGATAATATAGTCAAGCCCGAAATTATTCATACCCCCGGCAAATTCTGACTTAAAGTTACTGTTTTTCAACCAGCAAGTTGTTTCTTGATCAGAAATGACACAGGCGTCTCCCAGAAGATAATAAGACGATGTACATGAAGCATCATTGTGGAAAAAGTATTACTCATCTTTTCTTTACATTTGAACAAAAAGTGGCATGTCCAAAATTATTCATACCCGTCTCAATAATCAATCGAAAAGCCTTTATTGGCTATTACAGCAATCAAATGCTTGCTATAATTGCTGACCAGCTTTCTGCATATCTCCACTGGTATTTTTGCCCTTTCATCTTTAGCAATGAGCTCCAACTCTTTCAGGTTGGAGGGTCTCCTTACCATCACCCTGATCTTTAGCTCCCTCCCACAGATGCTCAATGGGATTTAAGTCAGGACTCTGGCTGGGCCACTGCAAAACGTTAATGTTTTTGTTTGCAAACCATTTCTTCACCGCGTTTGCTGTGTGTTTTGGGTCGTTGTCGTGCTGAAATGTCCACTGGTCCCCACTGGTCTGCAGACTGCCTGATGTTGTTGAGAATTTTGATGTATTGCTCTTTTTTCATGGTGCCGTTTACTGTGATTAGGTTCCCTGGTCAACATTAGGTTCCCACCACCATTTGACAGTGGGGATGGTGTTCTTAGGGTTGAAGGCTTCTCCTTTTTTACATCAGGCTACATCATTGTGGCCAAACAATTCAATTTTTGTTTCATCTCACAACTTCTGCTGACCAAAGTGCTGTACACATGGAATCAATTAATCAGAATAAAACAACAAGATAATAAAATACAACAGAAATATAGAACATTAAAATAGTGGAACGGCCAATGTAACCTGCTTATTCTGTGTTGAAAGCTAAAGAGAACAGGTGTGTTTTTAGCCTGCTTTTAAATTAATCTACAGATTGTGCAGATCTAACATGGAGATCTAAGGGGTAGGCTATTCCACAGCCGAGGTCCTGCCATGTCTTCTTTGTCCAGATGAGGATTTTCAAAGGGCAAGTAGGCTTTTGTGTGCCTTATCTGGAGAAGCGGTGTCCTCCTTGGTCTGCGTCCGTTGAACCAAGCGGTGTGCAGTGTCCGTTGGACTGTCTGCCTTGAGATGTTGCCACCAGAAGAGCCCAGATTCATCAGGATGGCCTCGGTGGTGATCCTTGGATTCTTTTTTACCTCTCTCACTATCCTCCTGGTCAGCACAGGTGTCACTTTTGGCTTCCGACCACGTCCTCAGAGATTTTTCACAGTTTGGAACGTTTTGTGTTTTTTAATAATACTTTGCACTGTAGCCACTGGAACTTCAAAACATTTAGATATGGTCTTATAGCCCACAGGTCCTCAGTGAGCTCCATTGTCTTAGCCATGACTATCCACAAAACAGCAGAGAGCTTCTGATTTTCACCTGTTGAGTTGATTAAGACAGCTGTTCCCAATGATGCCTCTTGTACATCGTCTTATTATCTTCTAGGAGACGCCTGTGTCATTTCTAATCAAGAAACAACTTGCTGGTTGAATAAAAGTAACTTTAAGTCAGAATTTGCCAGGGGTATGAATAATTTTGGGCTTGACTGTATATGTCGTAAAATCGAAGACTAATCTGCAAAGTAACTAAATGTAGTGGAATAACATGCGCAATATTCCCCTCTGAAATGCAGTGAAGTAGAAGCATGAAGTACAGTAAAAGGAAAAAAACTGACAATCCAGTACTTAGTTACTTTTAACTTTGGTAACATACCATGTGCTGCAGTAAGTGCAGTAAGAATGTTTAATCCTTTTAGGCTTCTATTTAAAAAAAAATCACTTAATGCTTGTTTTAATCTGCTTATATTTTTTCCAGAAAATATTTGAATGACATATTTTCTGGATTTCTCCAACACCTCTGGCCACTCACTACCTGATTCCAAAGGGTTAACAGGGATTGGTGTACTCTGCAGGGGAAGTGCTAATCAGCTCGGAAACATTTGCTGCCCTTCTGGCAATGTCAAAGGGGTCATGGTCCCTAAGCTGGATGTCCACTCCATCCCTTGCTCCTCCCCCTCCTGCTGTATAGCCCAGCCCCCCCTGGGGGCCTATAGGCCCTGCAGGCACAATCACCGCACGGCGACTATAGGCGCACAGAAGCTGGCGTTAATCTATATGGAGCCCTGGGATGGACTGCGGCTGTCTGTCCATCAGTGTGTCTTGCCTTGACCATACCCAGGCGGCCCTGGACCTAAGCTATTGACTCAGACAGGCCAAACCCAGATTTCTGATTGGTCTGCAGAGGCATCCAACGGGCCCCTCCTGCTGTTTGGCCAGCTGATTGATCTGTTAACACTGGCCGCTGGACGTGTGTCCCTGAATTTAATTTCAGAATTCATTTCTGGGAGACGTGTGTGTACAGAAATGATGTAGAGTCCCAGGATCCGAGTGAAGGACTGAGGGTGGACGCAAAATAAAATTGCAATTTAGATTCATTTCTCCCCTCCATTGTTAGAAATCTGGAACGTGCTTTGATGGAAACACGTCTACAATTAAAACATAGTCTTATGTTGTTTTTTCATTTTCAACTAAGATGTTATTGAAAGTGGTCCATTATCAAGTCTTTGTGCCTTCATGTCTCCAAGGGTGACACTGTGGGTGCTAGATGAGACAATTTCTCCAAATGTGTATTTTCCAGCGTACATTTCTTTTTATTTTCAATGCCATTGGATACTTTTTGCCTTTTGGGCGCTATATATTGTTCATTCCTGTGATAAAGTGTTTATAATGTCTATAGCAGATACACTAGTTATCTACATGACTAGACCTGTAGAGGTGCCTTTACCGTCATTGCATTTCATCACATCAATACCCACAGAACCTCCTGCTGTCAAAATAATAAAAAGTGTTGAAAAATGCCACTGGAGTCGGGCTGTGAGGTGAGGCAACCCTGATTAATTTCACAGCTCATAAAGCTTACAGTCAGTGTGCTGGTATGTGGGTATTGTCCAGCATGGATTTCCCAGTCCATTCTGCTTTACGCTTCTTCGTTATCAGAAATACCCATAAAAAACACACAGACAATGAAACAAATGTGGTGGAGAAGACAATGCCCGTGTTAGGAAGTGAGGGCTGATTTGATGGAGTCTCTCTTGCTCTCCCCCCTCTGGCCTGCTGCAGACAGAGAGGTGGGGGCTGCTTGGATATGCATCACAAAGGCTTCCTGCAGTATTGATCCGCAGTGAGTTAAGGCAGTCTATCAGCAAATGTCCCTGTCTCTGGGAAAAAACAATAGGAGATTAAAAACACACAGCTTGCCGGGCGGGAGGCTGCTGATGGGCCCTTATCTGGGCCCAAAGGTCACTGTGTACAGATATAATCCACTTTCACTTAACAGCTTCATTTAAGGCTCCTCACATGCAAATGGTGGCATTTCTGGGTCTATTCAAAGATGGAGGTTTGTTTTTCAAGAGACAGGTGAAGTTGAATTTTCTTTCCCAGAGGCAGAGCAGGAGGTTTTTGCTGGCAGGAAGCTGAAACTGTTAAATCTTTAAACCGTAGAAGACAACTGTATTTCCTCTTTACAAAACAGGAGGCAAGCACAGGTGTCTGACAGTGTCTTAATGCTGATGGAAGCAGCTGCTGAGCATTACAACCGTATGGCCTCCAGAGCTGCTTTACACTCATCAATTCACTTTCTTCCAGAGCATAGGATATAAAAAAAGATAAAATGTCAAAAATTAAATACACACATACTGTACACAGACAAATCAGAATTAAACGACTGCATGTAAAAACTCACCTACACTCAAAATGTACACATTCTCACCACTACTCACACCATTTTGCGAGCTGTGCGGCACAAGGGAATAACCAAATCCTCTGCATACATTTATAATCAAAAATTATATTAATAAAACACATCACTTTTACAAGCATTTATCTGCCCAAACAAAATCATCCAAATACTTGAAAGGAGATAATCCTTTCCTCCTAACTCGATTAGTGACATTGATGCTCCTTAAAGTACTTTGCTAGAACACTTGTTTGTGCTATAAACTGTGACACCAGGCAACACTGGATGCATTTATGTATTTTATTCAATTATGAAATCTGCCTTTTAAACAAGTAACTCAGAATGCTAACATCAAAACAAACAGCCATTAGATCAACTTAATAAATCATTAATACATTTGTTCACCAGTATTCCAACTTATATTTGCATTGCATTAAAATAAATTGTAGAGCAAACAAACAGTTATATCACAAATGAATGCTAAAAGGGATGTGGGATTCCCTTTAAAAACAGCTATGTAACATGTCAATTGAAACTTAAAAAAATGTCAATGTAAATCAATAGAGCAGTGCTGCTGTGGTAACAGCGGGTGTGAGGTCAGAAGCGTTCCTTGGGCTCGCTGAATTTGCGTTTCTTCTTAGGAGCGGAGGTAGACAGCGTTTCCTGGCTGTTTGGGATGTCATACTGAGAAACCTGAAAGCAGCAGAAGAAACAAAAGTCAACCACAGAATTTCTACAGACAACATCCCACTCTGAAACCAAAGTGATCAGTGCTGACTCATCTGTGAAACAAACAGGGTTCCTACGCATTTTCCATTTCAAAATTCATCATAAATCTCAAAACAGATTTTCAGGCAGAAGTACAGCAGTTTTATCACCCTAAAACAAAGAAGTGTTTTCCGCAACAAATACAAATACTGCATGTTGAATGAAGTGATCCGGGGCTGCATACTAGTGTCTTACATAATAGATTAAAAAGTGCTTTATTATTCGCTAGCTGCATTTACAGCTTTATGTTTATATTAGGATCAGATCAGAGTTTATACGTGCAGTAAGGATGAGTTTCTCACCACTTTATCCTTCATAGCTGTCAGCTTCTTGTTGTTCACAGTCAGGTTTGTCTCCTGCCCACACACATACATACACACATCAAATACATCCATAAGAGACAATCTTCTGCTGTGCTAATCAGCCGCAGTGGTGTAGTTTACCCAAATACCCAAATAGCCCAGTTGTAGGTCAATGCATATAAACATCCTAAAAGATTTAAAATAACCTGAGGGAAATCATATTTAATTGTGGAAAGTCTAGCTAAATTAAATGGCTTACCACATTTATGAAATAATCACTGCCTCAAAGAAAGAAACATGTAAATCTTACTTTTAGGTCAAAACATTGCCAACTCAAAAGAGCATTATGGGTACAATGTGGCTAACCTATGCTCAATCATAGAGACATCAATTCTGCTAATTGGTTGATTAACAAAGCAAAGAGACTTAATGACAGGTGAATAATGTTTAAGTGGTCTCAGGTCATCTAGCTGTACAAGTGTAAGGAGAGAATTGGTGGCTGTTGAGTTTTGAGTGGCTGACTGACCGTAGTGGACTTGATAATCCGTCCACTCCTGGTCCTCTTCCGGGCCACCTCCATGTCGGAGGTCTTCTTCACCAAAGTGTCGAGCTGAGAGGGGACAGATGGCCTGTAACGCTACCGACCATTAAGTGCACTTGAAGTGGCACTTTGCTTCATGTTTACGCAGAGCCTGCAGTCATTATGCTTTTTCAGACTGCTAAGAAACTCTTAACATTTCTTTTGAGTTGGTGACGCCTTGTCTATACATATATACTTAAACCAGTTATGAAAAGATTTTTATCATTGTGTCTCTGCTCCCATCAGTCATTACAAAAACAAACATTGAATGCAAGAAGGGATGGATCCCCAGTGAGCCCAGACCAACAACGGCAGACAAAAACTGGTCTTCCACTTCTTAACAAAAACCTTATTCCCTTCTTTTTTTAATACCTTTAACTTTGTTACATTTACTTGCTGTTGATTAGGATAATCTCCAATTTTTTGTTTTGGTTCCTCACCACCAATATCCACTTGACAAGGAAGAATGATGAATCAAGCTACTGGGATTAGAGTATATTAATGTAATGTAGCAGAAGCTAGAAATTATTTTATGTGTAACATGCTCTGATGTGTTGAGGTCTGTTTAGAAAAGGCCACACCTACCTCTGTGGTTTCCTCACAACTCTCAATCTTCTCATGACAGCTCATCTGGATCTCTTGAGTTCACAAAAAAATTGCTTTTTTGTGTTTATTTTAGATTTCGCAGTTTAATAATTGAAACATCATGAAATCACAACTCAATGGGAAATTATGTAAAACCAACAACAAAGATATCTGCCACTGAATTTTATTTCAAGGGTATTCAACTCCAGGGGAGGCCTTTAGTTGAAATTATGACACTGTCAGTTTTTTTAAGGACCTGATAATACCCTTTTATATCTACTTGCCTATAAGAATAACTACTTTAATAATCCCCATGGGGCCATTTTTCTTACTATGTACACAGTTCAAGTGAAATGTGAGGAGGATTTACCAGTGTTGTCAAAGTCCGTGTTCTCGTAGTCAGGTTTCTCCCCATCTTCAATCATATGACTCTAAAGATTAAAACATGTTATCTGAACACCGTGATCACACAGTCAGCATACTGACCACATCAACCAACTGCTTTTGATAACACAAACGTCTGACCTGTAGCCTCACTTGCATTTGCAACATTTAGGCATTTCTCAATTCACTTGTAAATAACAAAGCTGTTCAACACATTGCACTCTGTCTTACATTGTGTTACAATAAAACTAAATTCACACAATATTGTCTTTTGTGAGGGTTAAGAATCATTACATCTTGAATCAAATCAAACCTTTTTGAGTCATCACTTCTTGGTGTTTTTTAAGCTCTTTTATCATTAATTTGATTACACTGATCACTTTGCCCTGCTGAGTGTGAACAAGCTTTATGTCTGAGTTGTTTATGTACTGACCTGCAACAGGACGCCCTCCTCCTCCATCTTCAGAACCCACTTCTCCGTCGCATGAACACTCTCCTCCACCTGCAGACATTTAGCAACATGCATAGCTCAGCTGTCAATCACATATCAGCTCTTGAATGTGCTGACTGCAGTAAACCTTGGTGAGTAGGAGACAAAGGCCATTCAACTGTCCATTAAAGACAGTGAATATAAAAAAAGAACGAGGAGTTACTAAACTCTAACATATTTATTATAGCACATTTAAAAGGTTTTACAATGCCTCACTGCCTACTTCAAGTGAGGTTTAACATTTTATTTCTGTCCCTTTGTCTCAAGCTTCCTTTAATTCACCTGCTCCAGCCTCTGTCTCTCTGTGGCCATGTCCAACTTCAGAGTGTGGAAGGGAGTGGTCACCTCGCCCATGGTGAGTTTGACCGGCTCCTTCTCAAATTCCATGGTGTCGCCGTCTGCCTCTTTGAAGCCCGGCGGCTGGTAGTCCTGAGGAGTGGCTGGAAAACAGACAAACAAACAGATGGAAAGAGAAACAAACAGAGACAAACAAAACCTGAAGAAGAATGGGACTGGTCATGTATAAATTCGACAGGCTGACAAATCCCAACCCGGTACAAACACACTTTCTAATTCTAGCACATTTCTTCCCACTCTGATCAAAGCAGTGCATGATTTTACAAGCAAAGAATTTAGTATGTATATCCTTGTGGTCTTGTTTAATGTTTTAACAACAACTGTCAAAGAGAAATGTCATCTTACTCTTCAGTACTTGTAACAACTGTTTAAAAACACACTCTGTACATGAGGAATTGCTTGTCTTTACAGCCTAACATTTTAACTCCTGTTAGCAAAGACAGATAACTATAAGGCCACGTGCCTTGTGAATCTCAGCAGAATCAATTTGTAGATCTTTGTGATAAACAGGTGACAGGAGCATTCTCAAAATTATCAAAATATAAATAGGCAGTAAAAAAAATGTTAATCTGAGGAGATAGGTGATAAACTGCAGCCTAGACACGTTTAAATACACTTAAATGTAGCAGCACATGTTTGTGTCTGATGTGTGACTTATTTCATCTCCTTTTGAAACTGGTGGTCTTTCAGCAAGACACTCAAGTCAGATTAGAGCATCAGCTAAAATGTGACACAAATGCATATAGGCTTTGATCAAAGCTGCAGCACATGTAAGAGTTCAAGCAGCGCAGCTCACGACATTTATAAAAAACAAATCTAGTTAGTGTAATATTAAACATGTGCACAGCATTAACATCTTTAGCTCGTTTTACTTTACTGCACTTGCAGAAATCTTAACTATGGTGGGCTTCTGTGTGTTTGCTTGTCTTACCATTGTCATAGTAAGCCAGCTTCATGTTGAGGCAGACATTGTCTGGCAGAGGACCCAGATTCTGCATCAGAGTGTAGAGCTTCCTCACCAGCAAGATGCTGGCCTTCCTAGTGTTGCCGCACGGCATTGACACCTTGTTGTTGTTGTTGTTGCTGCTGATGAAGAAAAGAGGCAGGATGAGAAGTGAACACAAACCATCAGCCCAGTGCTGCTTAAATATCTGTTCCTTCAGTCACTATGCCAGGTAAACATTATATTAAGGTTTTTGGTATGTTCTGTGAACCATGTTGGATTAGAAAGTTCAGTCACCCTTTACAGGTGCCTAGGTGGCAGGGGCCTGTTCATGACTGGAGAATCTGAAACTACTCTGACTTTTAACACTCCACCTGTTAAATGCTGTTGTAGCACAGTGTTGCTGCAAGTACAAGTCGCTGAATGAAATAAGGGACCTTTTCAAGTCTGCTAGGTCCATCATTCAAACATAGTTTATGGCAAAGTATCCAAACTACATAACTTCATTTTAAATCATTTTAAATTATAGTAAATGCTTAGCTACGGTAGAAACCTAGTTACATTACATGCTTGAGTTTCCACACTTACTATATCAAGTGTGCCATGCTGAAATGTGTATGTAACGATAAAATGAGGTTACAGAGTATATTCAATTGTTTTATATTCTAACTTCTGAACCACTTGTGAATTTAAGGAATAAACAATGTTAAAAGGGTTAATTCATGCTCAGTCACAATTAGACCAAAAGGCAAGTCACTTACTGGGATGCGAGTGTAAAACCAATTTGGAGATTATCCAAACTTGTATTTTCTTTTAGTAAAAAGTGAAAGAAAACATACCTTTCAAAGTCCATTTCTGCTCCTTTTGCAGTGTACTGGATCCTAAACTGGTAAAACTCAGTCACTTTCTGAAAACAAGACAATAAACAGCTTGTTATTTCTACATCTCTATTGCAGCAAATTATTGTTCAACATCAATGGCAAGAAGACATCCTGGGGGTTACCTGGGGGTTCTCTGGGTCAGTGTAGATCTAAAAAAGGACAAAACATAAGCATCATGATTATTTCTGGATGTCTTTCAGGCCTTATAGAAAAGACTAAATGCTACACAACATCAGCTCAAAACTGAGTCTAGTTAAAGCTTATCTCTTTGCTACTGTGATGTTCCCAGGCAGGCTCCTAAGCCCAATGTGTTTATCACAATTAAACGTTCAAAAAGACAACACATAAGCAGTCAAATATGAACAAAATACTTACAGACATAATTACTGTCCGCAGCTGGTGGGGGAAAAATGACAAAAACTTTGACCACATTTGTTTTTATCAGACAGGGGTAAAAATGTGAATACAGACTTACTCTGCTTGTTATGTTAAATTAATTCACCACTTAATTAAATCTATTTTTAATGAAGCAGACGAACATGGCAAATTGTCTGATTGATAGAAAAGGTTGAAAATGACTCACATACTTCTTCTGGATAGCATCAAAGCAACCCTGCATCCTGGAAGAATTTACAAAACACACATCTAATTATCAGGTTTTCAAATCCTCCAACATTGTCCAACATACAGAATGAGCCCTAAATCATCGTCATAATGTTATTTGTTATTTGGTGTAAGTGTACTGCATGTGATTTGATATAATGTGAAATAGTGTAGACTGTAGCTAGAGGCATAAAACAGATTTGCCAGTAATACATACAAGAATAAAATAAGGAAAAATATACAAATTAGTGAAAAAATGTCTATACAAAAAGGACTGTTGAAACTGCAATAATAAAATGACCCCTTTTTAAGGAACATTTCAACATGATAGTAAGAAATAATTTGTATTTTCTTAAATCTTACTCTCTTTACTCAAAAATATAAACAGCTTATTTTTGTGTGAAACTGAAATTGTGTTACTTGCATTCATAAAAAGTTCCACAAATCATTCCACACCGATTTAACAAAAAAATCTCACCTCTGCCCTTCCCCTTATACAATACCAGCAACTATTCAGAAAAATATCAATATACAGATTGTGTTTTCAGAGATCTCTTACAGTTACTTTTATTGAGCTTTTATTTATTGTTTGATCAAAAAATATTGTTATATTTAACTCTGTCACTATCACCCCGCCTGATCCATGTTATGACTCAAACAAACATCATATTTCAACAGGAATTACTGTATGTCCCCAAAATGTTGTTTTGTGACCCTGATCAAAGATCAAAGGTGGCCAACAAGTTGTTGTTATTTACCATTGAACAATCTGACTGGCACCGGGACAGCTGCGCTCCTCTTTGAGGATCATCACTTTCTGATCTGTGGGAAGAAAAAAATTGTAATTGTAAAAATCTAATTGTAAATATTTCCAAATGGTAAATTGACCTTGATAGCCACTGTGATGCGCGAACAAATACATTCCCATGTGTAAACTAACCTTCTACATATTTGTTCCCATAGGCTTTCTCTGGGAAAAGGCCCCGGAGGTATGTGATGCCAGACACAGCGATGGCCAGAAGCTTCTTTATAACAACTAAGGACTGCTGCTCTGAGAGAACCTGATTAGGCAACAACTGAGTATCCTGTATGAGTAAAAGAAATTAATCTCATACTGAGTCCTGCTTAATTATCACAGTTAACACAAACACTAGAAATCGGCCAACAGCTGCAACATATGCATATTTCAACATATAAAAGAGTAAGTTACCCAAAAATCATCTAAGACAAATTTTTAAAAAAGCTAAATATTAATTATGTGAATGTTAATAATATGGTTTCTGATAAATATTGGTGTGAATAGTCCTTTTACAAAATCTGGGCTGCGAGAGCCCTCAAGCACTCATATTTATATAGTGAAATAGAGGTATAAGTTAACGTTACAGTAACTAAGCATGAAATAGAAACACTAAAGTACAACCTCAAAATTGTACTAATTTATACAAGTAAATGTAAAGTTACTTAAACTAAAAACTGTAAAGCTACTTAAACTAAAACTGTTACAAATAACGTTATGGAAAAGAACAATTTAAACTGTATAGTTTTGCACAGTTAGTTAACAAGCTAAAGTTAAATGTGTTCATCACAAAACATTTAATCTGCTTTAAGTTAGCTATCTCAGTCCAACAGTTAAGAGTAATTTTACCAGTGAAGTTCTCGCTTGTTGTACACAGGCCATTGCATCAGTGAGAGATAACAAAATAAAAGCTGCAAAAAAACACAAAGAAATTACCGGAGGAGTAACAAAGTAGCCAACAACATGGTTTTAGATAGTTTAGTACCATTATATTACATTAAAAACTACAACCAGAGACGTTTTTGCTGCAACAAAGTTAATGTTAATAACTTCAGGTTGAGCATTAGGTAACGTTAGCTTATTTTTCTATTTCTGTCACCCTGAGATTGAGCCATCTCTCTGTATTGTTACTAACCGAGGCTGTTGACAATGAGCTTGTACTTACATAGTAACAATAAAATACAATTTTCCCAAACAATACAGCACAATCCCTGTTTTTTAAGATCTGCAAGCAAGCTAAGCTAAGCTAGGTATTAATGTAAAACAACCGTTCCCGCTAATTGTTTGATTGACGGGCAAGAACAGTTAAACAAGTAGCCAATCACTGAGCGGGAGCTTGTCCAATGTGTAAAATGGCTGCCGTTCCTCTCTTAAAACTAGTTGTGGTGTATTAATTCATTCATTCACACAGGACGGAGTGTAATACATTTAAAGTTAAAAAAAAACAAACATACGTGTTGCATCGATATTGTATATTTTCTGTTGTCAGGTGCTTTGTGTTGATGCAGCGCGGCCCCCGCATCGCCCCCAGTCTCCACTTTGTAAAATCATTGGGCGACGGGCTGTCAATCACAGAGCGCTGCGCTGTTACTGACATTCCATTGGCTCTCTGTGGACCATTTCTGCTCGTCTATTGGTTACTGTATATGTCAATCACAAGTATGCTACCTCTCCGGTGGTGATGTCACATCTCGTTACGCCATTTTTGTTGGGGAGCAGTCGTGTCCAGAAAAGGAGGATTAGATTCAGTACAGGTACATCAAACGGTACCTTATATATTTATCTCTTTGAATAGTCTGGCGAACGTGACATTACTATCACACCCACAATGTCGTCAGAAAACCTGGACTCGGACACTCAGGTGGACTACGAGGACGAAAAACAGGTGGGTTTCTGACTGTTGTCTTGATGTTGTTGGCTAACCACCGAGCATGCTAGCTAAAAGGGGCTAAAACCAGCTAGCACAAGTGAAGTGTGTATGCTCAGTGGCTCAGCGCTGCACCAAGGCAGGGGAGGGGTCTCCTGGAAAGACATGTAACGTTAGAGATATGGTAAGCTGTTCGGTCTGCTGAAAACTGTTATCGTAGCTGTCCAACCGTACAGAGCACCTTGCCAGTGTGTCATTTTGTTTTGTCCCATGCCTTGTGTCATTGGCTGGCGAGTCCTCGGCAGCTCGGGCCTCATTGGTCTGTCCTGGGGGGTCGCAAAATGTGCGATGTAGGTCCGACAGTCTCCAAATAAAAACTTAACTTGGTGGTATCACTCAGTATGCATGCATTGAAAGAACTTCATAACTCTTTCTCCTGACTGGCGCATGGCTTGAGATTCCTGATGGTCTTCTTATAGTGACAACAACTGCAATGTGACCGTTGTTCCGCATTTCAGTACGGTGCCACAACAGTGCAGTGATGTGCAAATAGTTTATCAAACATCTGTTGACATGAATATGGGTTAGAATATGCGTCCAATGTGACTTTTTCCCTTCAGCTTCCAAGCCTGCAGCTTGTTTATGCTGCTTAAGTTTGTTGATGTTTGATATTATATAAATCACAATATCTATGATGTTTGATTGACATCATATAGGAATGCACAGTGCAAACTGGAGCTAGTGTTTACTTAAGAAATAATTTAGCGGAAAATCACATTTAGCAGTTGGTCTGTTGTAATAATTCAGATATCTAATTTGTTAATGTTTTATAGCTTATGTTTTCCGACCATACAAGAAATGTGATGATGGTTTATAAATAATAGCAATTTGATATAATGCCCAGCCCTTACATGCACCTGATTGGCTGCACAGCAGGTTGAAAGTTTCAGTCTTTTGTTGACAAACCTGTTGGTTGTTATGCTTAAGCTTGGATGGAGACATTTAGTTGCAGTGAATGCTAATTGTGTTAAGTGCTGTGTTTGTAAAAACACTGTCAAACTTGAATCACTCACTGCTTAAACCAACATAGCTTAATTTGGATTTTCCGTTCTGTATTACACATATTGTAAAGATACCAAATGTCTCACGATGATTTGTGTTATAAATGATGCTTTAGTTATTTACATTTGCAATTTCAACAGTCCTATTGAGTGATCTTTCACCCACTTAAGTGTGACACAGCTTCAGTGAGGCACCAGAACAAACAGATACATTAAAGTGATATGGTCACATAGTGTGTAAGAAATATCTAGTCAAACTTAAGGTACCTAAGAAGATTTTTACAGTTGTGCACATAACACTGGTCTAGAGGGTTCACAGAGAATGGGTTGTTAGATTCTGCAGTTTCCCTGCATTGGCGCCAAATATAGTAGCTCATAAATTTCTCGTCATGGACCCAATTGAATCAGCACACTTGGTGCCACACGCCCCCCTCCTCTCATGGGGAGTGTGTTCATCGGGTTCTGTCACATTTTATCCCTGCCCCAGCAAGCTTTGCAGGCTGAGTGCCCTATCTTCACTGCATAGTGGAAGCAGCTTTACAATGTTTGCTGCTCGCTTCAGGCATATTTGTAGGGAGTGCGTAAATGTCCTATGAAGTTTGTCCTCTTTAGTCCTACGTGCACTTTACACAAGGAGGTAAGCCACAGTTGAAACAGTGAAGCCAACCAAACCCTGCATGAACAGTTCAATGTAAGCCCAAAAATGACGTCAAAACCCTGTGACATCCCGTCGCACGTGAGAGATGTCTCATGTATTGCTTCTATTATAAAATCTCTGTGGATAAAAAAAAAACATTCGGCCATCAGTGACGCTGTGGTGGTGTTTGGCAGGTGAGCGTCATAAGTGATGATTAATCTGCGACGATCTGAGTCAGACAAACACTCTGAGCCATGAAACTTTTTGTTAGTGCACCTATGCAGCTTCCAGAATTACGGTGTTTCTCCCGTTGCTCGACGTCATTAAACCACGCTTATGCAGCGCGATCATGCGCAGTAGACACTGGTGCCAACAGGAAGTAGCCCTTTAGTAGTATTTTATTGGTCCAAAACTGGCTTCACTGGCTTCACACACAAAATTATCACGGTTATCACTATTATCACGGTATTGTAAAAATGTGCCAAAAAATAGTTTTATATTGAAAACTACAAATACAGTTGCCATTTTGTTTGCATAAAAAATAAAATAACAGCTAATACCTTTTGTTAACATATGAAAATAATCTAAGTGTGCATTATCAAGATTTTATATTATATAGGTAATACAATGACCCTGTGGACAATTACATGTAAACAAATAAGTCTATAGAAGACAGTGATGGTAACTGCAATGAGCCCAAAAACTGACATAAATACAGAGGAGTCTGTAGCGTTTCTAGATATGCTGGTTGGTTGCCTTCAGGGAGACGCTGGACAGAGTTTGCCGTGAGATCATAACAGCGCAGTTAACCGTACCCGGTTGTCATGGTAATTAAAATGTGACAGGTAATAATAACCGTCGGGAATTTTACCATGGTTTACCGTTAAACCGTTAATCGTTTCATCGCTATTTAGCATGCAGTCAGAACACACGAGGTGATCGCACTGTGTACACAAACAAGGTGTGCCTTGGTGTCCCAAGTTACTGCCCCCAATATCTACCTATCAAGGACTTGAATGACAAGTATCTGACCAGTTTGGCTAGTGTTAGTCAGTGGAAACAGTCCAAATACTTGCATTGTCTACTCAAATTGCCACCTCAGGCTTCTGTAACCTTGTGCTGGTGTAATGGAAAGTGTTGGTGATGGCGGGGCTGGTGATGTGGATAAGACACATGACACATACTTGTGATGTGGGAGATCTGCGTTCGATTCCCACTGTGACACATCCACCCATGTGTCCCTGAGCGAGGCACTTGCTAGGCAACCGCTACTTGCTCCAGTGGTGTGCGATCTCACAAGTCGCTTTGTCTAAAAGCGTCAGCTAAATGAGTAAATATAAATGTTGTCAAGTTATTGTTTCTTGACCTGGTTACCAATAAAGCCACAGAATTAACAGAAAACATGGAATCATTATAATTACTGTAAACGTTATTTATGGAAGCCAAGATGTGGCCACTGGAGGCAGAAAAAAAGGGTTTTATGTCCGCATTAACTGAAAATAACAGATTGTAAGTAACTTGTCATTTAGCAATTAACACCACTCTAATCGCTTATCATGCTTAAAGGGAAGTTTCAGGATTTAATTGTAAGCACAAATTGTGCTCAAAGTTCTCTAATGCAGAGTACTTTATTGCTTTACAGTAATAGTTTAACATTTGCTGAAGAGGACTTGTGAGGGTCAGAGTTCATTCTTCAAAGCTTCGACTTTAACAGATGCACAGTGCGGGTACACACAAACTCCTTCCAAACATGATTCCTAGAGGGGGCTTTAGTTGTTTGTTATTAATGTAAGCTTCTAAAAATCATTTAGACCTATTTTTTTAGGTCTCTCTTTGAACCAGTCACTGTCCTCATCTAGAGTTATTTCTTTTCAGGCATTAAACAGTGACATGAGAGACTGTAATAGAAAAACATTTATGCATCAAAGTGTCTTCAGTTCCCACTTGTCATTGCCATAGTTTTAGCCCTATTCACAGTGAAGTGACCCTGCTTATCACGGTAGACACACATGAATTTAAGTGTTTTTGTAGTAGCAGCAGCATTTTTGGAATTGTAGAGTGATGATAAATGAATGCTTGTCAAATAAACAGCTGTTCTAGTGGTGCTTAAATTTTGCTGAAGATGTATCAGCTGACACGGGCCCTGTTTTTTGCTGGAGGATTGTTTATCTCGGTTTGTTCTTGTCTCCACAGGACTCCCAGGAGAAGAATGCAAACCCGGTGAAGGCAGAAGAGGCAAAGCTGAAAGCCAAGTACCCCGGCCTGGGCCAGAAGCCCGGCGGCTCAGACTTTCTGATGAAGAGACTACAGAAGGGGGTAGGTGACTATGACCACAACATGGTCGGAGACAAGGGGGGGGGGGGGGGGACTTACCCTCTTCTGGTTTATATTTCCCAGCCTCTGCAGAATAATTTTTATCCCCAGTGAACAAAACAACATTTCTAATAACAAAATGTCCCCCCCCCCCTCCAGAGTGATCAGTGCTATTTCACCAGTGATGCAACTGATCACAAAACTCACGGTTCAGTTCGATCCATAGTTTTGTTAGGGTTAATAATTATTTTAGAATGTGCTACTTTGGCTCTGATGTAGCTGCCCGTCTTTGTCTGTAGGTAATCACCACTCTGTAGTCTTGCTCAATGTCACTATCTGATTGGTATGCCCCCCCCCGTCTTTTACACAAATCGCAGCCTGCATATTACTGACATCATATTTGGACCAACGTGTAATACAGTAAGACAATCACCATAACTCCAAATGGCTTCTATCTGTTGTACTCAGGTCTCTCTTGCAGAATAGATCTTGATCTCAGTGAGACTTCCTGATTAAATAAAGGTTGTGTATATATAAATGAGGGAATATCTTGTGGAGGAATGGTGTTTATGCCTCCAATAGAGTTCCACAGACTTGGCAAGGAGCACTGAAGCTGTTCTGGAGGCTTATAGTGGCCTGACTCCATAAAACACTTCATGTTGATTTTTTCCTTTAATTTGTCACCCATCTGTACGTATTTAATACATTCATAAACATAAGACAAATTAACCCAAATTTAATAATGGTAATGGAAAGAGCTTTTGATGATGATGATAAAAACAAATTTTCAGAAGCAATTTAAAAGGGGTTATAAATAAGCCTTTCATGAGGTTGATCTGATTTACACTGTGTTTTGGAAGGGGGCAGAATAGGAAGGGATTGGGTCGGGGTGCCACAGACCTACAAGCCTGGCATAAGAAGCATGCAATGGGCCTGAAGACTGCTGAAGCCTCATATTAGCTTTGCCAAGACTTTGGGATACATTTTTGCATAGAACGAGGACAGTGGATGTTGTCCTCCATCACTTTCATTGGTATTGCTTTAGGAAGGGTCCTCCACAGGGCCAGTATGGACAGGAGGAACAATTTCAGGGACTGGTAACTCTTAATGTATTTACGGGCATGTGAGTGTTCTTTGCTTACCTGAAATCAGCTAGAGACATGTCACTAAAGCTGTGAGGACCTCTTATCTCTTTTCTTGTACAGCAAAAGTACTTCGACTCGGGCGACTATAACATGGCCAAAGCGAAGATGAAGAACAAGCAGCTTCCCGTGGCGGGGCCCGACAAGAACCTGGTGACTGGCGACCACATTCCCACGCCGCAAGATCTGCCACAGAGGAAGTCCTCCTTGGTGACCAGCAAGCTAGCAGGCTAGCCTCCACCATCGTAGAAGCACCCCCCCCCGACCCCGCCCCCGGGGATCCCAGCAAATGTCCGTCGTCCTCCTCACCCATATCCCCAATATGCCCCACCACCTCCCCTCTCTTCCCTTTTCATCCCCAGGCACCACTGGCTTTAATATGTCGGGCAGAGTTGTGTAAGTTAAAACTCCATTTGCTTGTATGTGGGTGGGGCGGGGTGGGAGGGATGGAGGTTTAGGTGGCCCATGAGGTCGCAGCCTTCTCTGCCCTCCCACCACGCACAGCTCTGCCTCCTCTGCGCACTCGGCTCTACCGCCTCTCTTATATCTTGGTTTTCAATGTTCCAAGATGCAGATCACAGTAGGCGTGTGTCATCAGGCAGGGGTTGGATGGGGTGAGTTAATGCACTTTGTAGTCTGTATAGTATGCTTTGTTTGGGGGTTTTTTGCATCCTAAATGACACCAAAATAATGTGTGTAAGGGAATTAGGAACCATGATTGCAGCGTGTTCTTTGATCTTTATGTTCCCTATCTATCCTGGTGGCTGGCTTCAGTGGGAGGAGGAAAATGTATGTGAATAATTGCTTGTACACCAAATCTGCAGCTGCCTAGCTTGAGAGTTCTTTAGCATTCGCTGACACCATATTGGGAAATGGGGGAAATGAATGGAGGCTTCCTTTCATCTCATCCTCCTGTCACTTTTCGTCGAACAAACCCAGAGGTCATCTGCTGCAGCTCAGCCAAACAGGGATTTTCCCCCTCTCTGCTCCTGTTGCTTTAATTCTTGACTCCCTTTGCTCCTGTTCTCTCTCTAAATATGCTGCATGATTGTAACATGTAACAAAAAAAGAAATGTAACATGTTTTTTAACGGGAGCGGGGCATCTGCTTAATGGTAGGAAGTATCAAAACAAACACACACAAAGCCCTGAAACATCCACAGTCACACTTCCTTCCCTCCTTTCCTGTTTGCTGTCCTGACAATCCATATACACATGCACCAGTTAGGGGCCCAGGGCAAGAGCCAGCTGAGTATATCCTTGTATTATTTTTAATGGCTGGGAACCCTGCCGATCTCTGAGTTTAGTTTTAGTGTGGTTGCTGTTGAGTTTCATCAAGACTTGTGTTTACTATGAGCCTAAAAGATTTGTGGGTGGATTGAAGGACCATGCATAGAGTGTATGCTTCTGTAAATAATACTCAAACAGTCACGTAATTTGCGATAAGTCTGGCACTTTGAGGACTGGATCAGCTAACATGCCTGAGAGAAGTGGTTGTGCTAAATCGACTCACTTGGGATTACATCTTGGGATTTCTGGCTTGGAAGTTCTGTGCTTTAGCAACTGAGCCACATTTCACACTGCAGCTATTGGGCTCAGAGACCGTGGGTACCCTTGTCATCTGGTTCTCATAGTGATGTGATGAGGCAAACTAAAGCCCTGTTCTGGCTCGCAATGTTTGGATCTCATGGAGGTATGAAAAGTGATGTAACCACCATCCAGACAATTTACTTTTTAAACACAGATCCAAACAGTTAGCATTTTTGTGTCAGACATGAACAAGTGCATTTTGACACGAGTGCTATATCAGATCACAAAAGTCCCATTAAAAAGACAAAGTAACACAGATATAGCCTTTGTGTTCCACAATAACAAAAATGTGCAGTGAAAATTGTTTTCAGACATGTAGGACAGAGTGAAAGAATTGTTCTTTTTCTAGCTGCTTGTTAAAGCTAAAAAGGGACAATGATTTCTCTTTTTTTTTTTTTTTCTCAATGTTTTAACACTTTCAGAAAATATTGATCACAGTAAGATGTTGTGGTTCCTCTGACATATTGCCCTCCATGGCAGTTCAATTATGAAACACTATCCTAATTATAAAAAAAAAAAATGCTACTTTACTATAGTATAGACCTACTACCACTACCTGCGCACCAGAGAACATTATTTTTACCACCAAACTGACACACTGCACAGACTGATCTTTGATCTCAGGGGTGTCAGAGGGTAAACAGCAGGCAACCTGACAACCACAGGTGTCAGCCCTGCTGTCAAGATCGTCACCGTGGGCTTAATGTGGGACCCTGCGTGCCTGCTGGATGTGCTCACTCCAACACTTGGCAAAGCAGAGAGAGATTTTATAACGCATGGTGAGGGGGCAGTGTGAGCCCGTGCTCTAATCTCTAGTCCCACCTGTTACTGTGGTTCGACTTCTGAAAGAGGTGAATGGTGCGATCAACAAATCTGCAGACTTTGAATGCGTGCCGTCGACACAGTCAAGAATCTGAACTGGATGCTGGCGCTCGCTGAGAATCAGCCTCCTTGTATAATAATGCTTCAGGGAACCTTCACAAATGCACACTCCACCATATAGGCTAGGTGATAGGGTGCATGCACCATCACATCCTCAACCTCACTTGTTTTTCATTGAGACTTAAAAATGTGTCAAATTTGCCGTGTGCAAAAGAGAACTGACCTGTACGTATGTGCTTGTTATGGTGTTGTATGAATGCTCTGCTTTTCTCTGTTCCAGCCATTGTAAATAGACTTCAACAGGAAGGGATTTTTGTGTTGTTTCCCACCTGCTTTTCAATTTTTTTTTTTTTTTTTCTGATTCAATGGTTCCGCTCTCCTTTCATTTTAACACTACTTCTGCTTCATCTTAGTGAATTACAGGGGCTATGTGAATCTGTATCATATGAAAATATGTGTAAATGCTGCTGTATCATTCAAAGACAAATCTAAGAGATGATACCCTGTAAAGAACACCTGTCCTCTTGATTCTACCAGTCCGACTCTACTCTCCCCAAGTATCTCTGTTTCAGAGTCATATAGCTCCTGTGTCAAAGTCCATCCAGTTGAGACTGCGGTAAAGCGGAATGTAAATACTACACTACATTTTAATGGAAAAAATACTAAAAGAAAAGGTCTTGAACACTTTGTCACTTTGACATGAATATACAATTTAGCATCACATCATGGGTTTAAAAGCCTACAGTTCCCTGCTTTAAGTAAAGATTACTAGAAGAAATGGGGAAAAGATACAACATGTTCTATGAAACAACAGTGGACAGGAGTTCTTGAATGCTACTTGATGTTTGGCTTTGCACAGAGAGAGCAGTTCAACGAGAGGAAATAGCAGGGTATGTTTCAAACCCAGCACACAGGGTGTCTCTCGTTCAGCTATGATAAACACGTGCCAGAATGTATAATGAAATGACAGGCTGTGTGCTCTGAAGTACTTTTGTGCTGCTTTTACCTTATCTGTTTTCTTGTTGTTTTGCAAGTATTATTTTTTTTCCTCTTTGTTTTCTTGTGTTCTCTTATTACATAATTAGTATATTTCATCCTGGTCCAAGATAACTGCAGGGAAATCAGAGGCACCCTTGCTTCCAAGAAAAAAAAAAGGGTTTACAAGATAAAGAGAATGACTGGAGAACACAGGAACGATTTTAAGACTTCAGAAAGTACAGGAGTACTTCGAATGTTTCAGTTGTGTGGGAATTGGTAAGAGGATTTTTGTCAGTATTTGAAATAAACTTTTACATTAATAAGATTTCCTTGTTGTCAGTTCTCTGCTGTATTTATTTGCATCATTGGTGTATTTGTTGGCAACTGCATGCTAATTAAAGTATAAAAAGGCTGAATCTTGTAGGTAAACATAATGGAGGGCCAGAATGGGAGTACAACCCCCTGACCACTAGGGGGAAGCACATGATTTATTTCTAACGTGCCCCCACCGCGATGTCTTTATTAACCTAGGCTCATTTTAAAAAACGTGAACAGATCAATAACCGCAGCATAACACAACTGCACGTACACCACGACGCTGTATAATTTAGGCTTCATTTATAAAAAGGACCTATTAATTTAAACTGTACTTTTCTGATAAATATATTGATTAAACAACTTCAGAAACTGCTTTAATTATTATTATTATCGCGGTTGCTTGCTGTTAGTTATCATAGCATTTGTTATTGCATTATACGAACCACCATAGATTAATGTAATAATGGAAAAATACAAAAAGAACCCATAAATCAATCACAACCTTGGACCCTCCTGCTTTATGAATTATAACGAATCTGAGGCTCTCTTTTTTTGTCTTTAAAAAAAATATAGCTTCAAACAACAACACATTTAAAGACTTATAAAACAATGTCAGAAAATACGGATGTCCGGAAAGGGGTGGGGGATGACGTGATTGACGTAGCCTCACTTTATAAGAAAGACAGCCAGCTCACTTCCGCTTCACTGCAACCCTGCCATGGATGATGAGTGACTGTTCAGGACAAGGCTAGCTTTTTTTTTTTTGTTTCATACAGGCTAGCATCAGTCCTCTTATTAGCCTACTTTTTTGTTAAGTAATCAAGTAAGCGTAATTTTAAAGCCAAAAGTCAAAATGAATATGCTTCACCCGACGAAACGGGCCGCGTTTAACGTTATGAGCTTTATTCTTCCTCAAAATGGAGTCGTGGAGGGACCGATGCACTACGGCTCGGGTGATTCCTCCCCGCAGCTAGCCATGGGCTCTTCTTTAGATTCTCAGAACGGAAACGTTGGGCCCAGCGACACTCCAAAACGGCCTAAGCTTCTGGGAGTGAAGTCTAACGGGTTTGTACCAAAAAGCTTTCAAGACAACAGCGAAGAAATCGAGGACGGCTCGCTGCCATGTACGCCGGAGTTAGACAGTCCAATCGATGTCCCCAGTTGCCCAGCAGGGGATGAAGTCTTGGAGAATGACACGAGGCAACTGATCAGCAGTTTTCTGATAGACTTTACTGGACTTACTAAACTTCCGCGGAAAGAAAACAAAGCACTATCAACAATGAAAAGAGTTGTGGAGGACGTTTTGGAAAAACACAGATACGCATACAATGGTAGGTAACTTAGTGAAAAGTATGTGTGGCGTTTACAACTTGCATTGACGCAAAACGTTAGTCGTAAACCTATAAAATACAGCTACAGGCTGTATTACACACAACAGACACCATGTTTGGAAGTGATGGTTTGACCAGTAGGAGTTATTTAACTATCACAAAACGTAAAATGGAAAAAATAACGTTTTCTATGTTAATGGTGGTCTCATTTCAGTTGAATATCATTTGATAGCCATACAAGCGTTGCCATAAATGTACAAAAAATGTAGATTTGTGACCAGACCAATTTTTAATGTGTGTGTGTGTGTGTGTTTTTTTTTTTTTTTAGGTATGATCAACAAACTGTCATTGGATGACACAGGAGACGATGCCAGTTTTGTAAGCTCAGTAGCCAAGAGCCTCTTTGCAGATGGAACCACCAACTGGGGTCGTATTGCCAGCCTGGTTGCCTTTGGGGCAGCGGTGTCTCAGTACCTGAAGGAGAAAGGCAGGGGCAACTGTGTGGAGCTTGTGGGAAAGGAAATCTCCACATACCTACTGTCTTATCAGAGGGACTGGCTGGTCAAAAACAACTCATGGGTGAGTTATGACTAATGGCTGACTGACAGGATGTAAGAGAGAAGTTTCTGGTTGCATAACTACTTTCATTGTGCAACATGTCTCCCTGTTTGTTCAGTGAATATACTTAAATGCTTCACTGTCAGGTTTCCATCTAATGTTTTTGTTTGTTTTCTTTATTTCCAGGATGGCTTTGTTGATTTCTTTCGAGTAGCAGACCCAGAGTCCACAGTGAGGAACACACTCATGGCCTTTGCTGGATTAGCAGGCCTTGGGGCAACAGTGGCCCTGCTGATCAGGTGAATTTGTTGGACACCCAGAGACTTCTTTTTTTTAACAACACGTTTGGACTTGAGACTAAGGACATTGACTCTTAACTGCTGATATGATCATCTTTTTCTTGGGCTCCCTTCCACCCTCAATTGCAAAATAAGTGCATTTTTTTATTTTTGCTGTGGATGTAAAGGGACAGACAACAGGCGACTTTCAAACAATTAGGTTTTATTTAATTTACAAAGAATTTTATTTTTCTAATAAATGTAAAATGTCTTACTCAAATTAAAATGGGCAGTCAGTTGACCTGATTTTTTGCTTTTTTGTGTTTATGCATTCTTCTATCACAATTTCCAAGCGGTAATGGTGTTTTTGTTCACAAGACCTAGGCCAAACCAGGAAGGGGAAAGCTACGTTTTTCCATATCATGCAGTCATGAAGCCCATTTCCATAGACTCTATTTATAACCCCTGCCTGGATCCCCTTTTGTATGGACACTTTACATTTGCGGGCAGGAGGTGGTGGATTTGCATGGGTGTAGCTCAACTTCCTGCTTATGAAAATGTTGGATCTGCTCTAAGAGACGAGATCAGCCACATGCAGGACTTTTGGCTGTACAGCAGTGTGGAAACTTTGAGTCTGTTGGAAGGAATGAACAAGGACTGAGTGGGGAAAATGAGGATTGCATTTGTCATCTGCACCAGGGCTCAAAGTGGTTTGGGAAGAATGCCTGGCATCAGATAGAGAAAGCAGACTATGATTAATAGTACAGATCCAGATGTAAGCTTTGAAATAAAAAAGAAATATAATTCAAATGCTTTGACATTTTCTAATACTGTTTTTCTGTTTAGAGGATTTTGCAAAAGCAGAAGACAGTGGTTACATCTACACTCATACAGGCTCTGAGTTGCCTCGCTCTTAACTAACTTTTAACGCCTTCGCACTTGTCAACCTTTTGACATTTATTCACACCACATACCAAAATGGCAATGGCTGCTGTTTCCTAGAAATTTGATGAGGCTGTGGTAGCGCCTTCATCACACTGTGCACTCATCTGCATCCGCAGTTCTGCATGTTGCTGTGGAGGCATGTTGAAGAGCTGGTGCACAACAGCTGAATGCACCAGCTAGATTGTGAAACTGGGGTAAACAGTTCACAACATCCTCAGAATTTCATAATACTGACTACTTCCTGGGTTGGAAGGTCTTTTAGCTACTTAGAAACTGGTGACTTAACTGTGTATCTGGACTACAGCTTCACTTTGTTCTGCTCTACTGTTGCTTCTAACATTAACCCAGAAATACACAAATTTATAGATATAGTCATTTAAAACCTTAAATCATAGTGGAGACCATATCAAGTCTCAAGCAGGGGAATCCTTGGTGGTGATGTATGGCTGCACCCATGTTTGTTCAGATCCTCCTGTTGTCTCGGGTTACAGCACAAACACAACACTCATCAAGGTCTTAGGAGGAAATGGAGTAGAGCCTCTCCATGGTGATGATCCACAGCAGACCTCCCCATGTCCTCTCCTGTGGCTGATGATGCTAGTCACCACCCTGGTTACCCCTGTACAGTTCATTGTGAAGAACAGGCTGCTACACAATAGGGAATTGAGGCTGAGGCAATTTTATAGAGCAGTTTGCACCATACACAAGTGGATTGGTGGTGCAGAAAACAGGCAGCAATGCAGTGCTTGGGGCTAAATATGCAAAGCGTACAAAGTTTTTGAACATTAATGTTGGTAACTAGCTTATTGGAGCAATACAATATGAATATTTTTTTCTTCTCTTCTACCTCAGGTATTAAAGCCTTAATGCTGTTAAATATGTTAGATCCATCTGTATGTAGATGTTTGTTTATCAATAACCGATTGGGCCTATCATGGTCCAGTGTGTCAAGATATGCAAATAACAGACAGGTGTGATCATTTTTACTGCATATACAGAATCCATAAATGTATCAAAGTAAACTAAGGAGATTTTGGTAATCAAACATGACTTATGGATGCACATTAGTGGAATTAAAGTAATCGCAAGACTAAATATTGGCATTCTTTATGAAATAAAAAAAAATTATCTAAATTGCCAGGAATTTGTTTACCACTTAACTATCTTAAAATATATGGCTAAGTAATGTACGTCGAACTGAAAATGAAACTTGCAGTTGACTATGTCAACAGAACTATTAACACATTAACTTTTTAGACATTCTCATTGTGGTTAAGCCCACTGTGGTTAGATGGTCTGTTATCTTTCACAGCAAAAGAAACAACTTGATGAGGAAGCTGTCAGAAGCATTCTTTCAGGAAAACGACTGAACTGTCTAGAATGTGAGTTGTTTATTGCAGCCTTCACACTTTCCAGCTGCAGCAGCTTGTCAAATGTTACAGTGCAGCGCAGCTGTAAACTGGAGAACTTACAGAAACCCTTAAGCAGGTGAACACATTCCTATAGTGGGATAGTTTAGGGAGTGGTTTTAAAACTATTGTCTGCCCACATAATTAACATTCAGATAGTGGGCTGAGTATTGATTATATTCAGCTTGAGTCACTTCCCCCGAACTGCTGAAACCAAATGTAACCCAGGACTAGACCTATGTTTAGCTTTGCTCAGATAACATATTTTTCTATGCATTAAGCATTCATAAACTTGCATTCCTTTACACTGTAAAGAAAATAAGTGGTTCTCAGCAGACTTTTTGGGCATGTGGGCTGCTTTCTGTTACCTCCAACGAGGAAGTCTGTCTTGACACACATTAGAGAAATTATAAAATGTTACAAAATAGTTGAGATTTCTTTCTTGCTCAAAGTTTTCTTCATAGAGAAGCTTCCCACATTAACCAG